TTGCATTTATGGTGGATGTTACAGAGCACCTGAATAACTTGAACAAACAGCTGCAAGGGCGCAACAAAGTTGTCACGCAGTATTATGACCGCATAAGTTCTTTCAAGTTGAAGCTGTCATTGTGGGACACTCAACTCGCCGGTGGTGATGCAGCTCACTTCCCGTCTGAAAAATGTGTGCGCGACCCAACATGTGGCAGACATGAAGCGGTTCAAAGATAAAATAGCAGGACTGTTACGGGAGTTTGAGCAACGCTTTCAGATTTTTGGTGAACTGGAGAAAGACTTCAAAGTTTTTTGCTCGCCATTCACCGTGAATCCCTCTGATCTGCCCGTCAGCATCCAACTTGAAATAATAGACTTGCAGTGTGACTCTGATTTGAAGGGCAAATTTGCCGCAGCTGGCTTGGACACATTTTATCAGAATCTCTTGCCAGGTTACCCCAACTTGACAGCCCTCGCTGCAAAACTGTTGTGCATGTTTGGAACCACATCTTTGTGAGCAAGTTTTCTCTGTAATGAGCATAAATAAAACAAAGCTGCGCTCAAGGCTCACGCACAAGCACTTGAATCACATCCTGAAGTTGGCTGCCGCTCAGGATGTGACGCCTGATATTGATGCGCTGGTGAAGGCTAAAAGATGCCAGGTATCAGGAGTCAAACTATGCAACCCCACTTAAAGTGCTGCATGAGACACCCTGATATAGTTCTGTGATATACTTCTGTGAATCACTGAGGCGTTTGTTCTTTGTCCTCAGAATTTTCAAGTAACTTGGTGTTTTATGATTTAATAGTGAAGTTGTGCTTTTGGTCACACTGTCCTCAGGCTCCAGCTTTATGTTTTTATGTTGATGTGCTATTGTTTTTAATTGATTTTATTTGTATATTTAACCTATTCTTGACTCTGGTTCTTGCACTTGTTTGGGGAACAGGATTTCATTATTTTTATCTACATTTCTGCCTGAGAAATGACACCCTGATATAGTTCTGTGAAACAGTTCTGTGAATCACTGAGGCATTGTGTGTTCTTTTTCTTTAGAATTTTCAAATGAACTTGAGGTGTTTTATGATTAATAGTGATGTTGTGCTAGTACTATTTTGGACACACTGTCCTCAGGCTCCAGCTTTATGTTTTATGTTGATCGTATTAAAACAAAGAAAACAATCTGAAGTTGTTGTTTTTAAGTTATATATATATATATATATATATATATATATATATATATATATATACACCATGATTTTACCGGTCCGGCCCACTTGGGAATAGATTTTCCTCCATGTGGCCCCTGAGCTAAAATGAGTTTGACACCCCTGCTCTAAGGCATAGTTTCACTATGGTGTTGAGTATCATTATACTAAGATGGTATTGGTATCGAAGTTAAAATTCTGGTTTTGTGGCAACACTTCAAGCTAATGATTAGCCGATTGGGGTAGCCTAAACAAATGCCGATGGGCAACCCCATGTTTCAGCCATCTATATCCTAACCCAGGGGTTCCAAACTTTTTTTGGCCCACGATCCCATTTTGATATGTGAAAATGATCACGACCCCAACCATGTGAAAGAAAGAAAATAGGTGATTTAACAGCTAGTGTTTACTTTTTTTTAATTGGGGCTTTGGCAGTCAAACATTCTAACAGTAGTTCTGATTTTGTATTCTCAACTCACCATCATATACTTTTAATGCGTGGCTATGACAGTCAATTGCATATTAGTCTGACATAAAACAGATTCTCACAACCACTAATGAGATGGGTGTGCCCTGAAGCATGTTGCGTCGGAGCTTCTCAAAGTCAGTGGGCGTGGTCGACAGGGCGCAGCTCATCTCTCCTGTCACATCCAACCTGGATCGATATTTGTTTTTCATGCAGAGAAGATCACTGAATCGGCGTACCATGAGTTTTAACACTCGGAGGGAGACGCCACAGTATTCCCTTTTGAGTCAGGAACCAAAAGTCCTCCATAGTGATGCGTGAATGCATTGTCTGCAGCGTTTGGTCACATGACAGCTCCATCAGCTACAAGTGCAATCGAACCTGCACATCAAATGAGCAAGGATCACATTCAAATGGATTTTGCAGATTCTGTCACTCGTCTGTAGATTTTTTTTTTTTGGTATTTGCCCTGCATGCTTGCGTTGAGTTCGTGTAGTTTCCCAAATATGTCTGTTACGTCGGCAAGGAGACAATTTTATTTTCATTACAGTTTTACTGTGTTTTTTACATCCATTATGAATGACAACAGTTCCTCTCTCAATTGGAAAGATGTTTCGAACATTCCCTATCGATAACCACCACGCCTCGGTGTGAAATAGAATATTGTCATGTTCTGATCCCATATCTCCAGAGTTTGTTGCAAGACAGGCGTGCGCGATATAGTTTACAATCTAAGTTACCTGCGTCAATTCTGAGTTCTGCGCTCAGCTCTTTTGCCACCAGTTGCTCTCTGTGTATCCACTATAGTAGTTCAGTGGGTGTATCATACAGTGCGTCCATATGGCAGAGGGAGACACATTAATAACTAGAGTGCAGAGGCCTACCCACTATCCCGTGATCGATGGAGACCCATCTGTGCAAAATCCCACCATTCGATCCTGTGGAATCTGTTTTTCGTCAATATAGCAACACAGCACACTGAACATCCCCTGTGCCGTTTCATGCTCGGGAATCGTGAGACCGAATATGTCCTTGTGAATAGCATCCCCCGAGATGTAGCAAACAAAAGTCAATGCATGGGCGTCTCGGCCCTCACAGCTAACATCCATTTGGAGAGCATAAGGTGGGGAGTTTGAGTCAGTTTCATCTTGATTTCTAGCGATAATGAATGACAGCTTTGCACACTCTTGGCATTCTCTCAACCAGCTTCACCTGGAATGCTTTTCCAACAGTCTTGGAGTTCCCACATATGCTGAGCATTTATTGGCTGCTTTTCCTTCACTCTGCGGTCCAACTCATCCCAAACCATCTCAATTGGGTAGAGGTCGGGTGATTGTGGAGTCCAGGTCATCTGATGCAGCACTCCATCACTCCTCCTTGGTCAAATAGCCCTTACACAGCCTGGAGGTGTGTTGGGTCATTGTCCTGTTGAAAAACAAATGATAGTCCCACTAAGTGCAAACAAGATGGGATGGCGTATCACTGCAGAATTCTGTGGTAGCCATGCTGGTTAAGTGTGCCTTGAATTCCAAATAAATCACAGACAGTGGGGACCACACATGCAGAGATCATCCATTCACCTACTCTGCGGCGGTTGGAACCAAAAATATCAAATTTGGACTCATCAGAGTCCTGGTCTAATGTCCATTGCTCGTGTTTATTGGCCCAAGCAAGTCTCTTCTTATTATTGGTGTCCTTTAGTAGTGGTTTTTTGCAGCAATTCGATCATGAAGGCCTGATTCACACAGTCTCCTCTGAACAGTTGATGTTGACATGTCTGTTACTAGAACTCTGTGACGCATTTATTTGGGCTGCAATTTGAGGTGCAGTTAACTTTAATGAACTTATCCTCTGCAGCGGAGGTAACTCTGGGTCTTCCTTTCCTGTGGCGGTCCTCATGAGAGCCAGTTTCATCATTGCACTTCATGGTTTTTGCGACTGCACTTGAAGAAACTTTCAAAGTTCTTAATGTTCCGTATTGACTGACCTTCATGTCTTAAAGTAATGATGGACTGTTGTTTCTCTTTGCTTATTTGAGCTGTTCTTGCCATAATATGGACTTGGTATTTTATCAAATAGAGCTACCTTCTGTATACCCCTCCTACCTTGTCACAACACAACTGATTTGGCTCAAATGCATTAAGAAGGAAAATTCCACAAATTAACTTTTAACAAGGCACACCTGTTAATTGAAAGTCATTCCAGGTGACTACCTCATGAAGCTGGTTGAGAGAATGCCAAGAGTGTGCAAAGCTGTCATCAAGGCAAAGGGTGGCCACTTTGAAGGATCTCAAATGTATATTATAATTTAACACTTTTTGGGGGGGTTACTACATGATTCCATATGTGTTATTTCATAGTTTTGATGTCTTCATTATTATTCTGCAATGTAGAAAATAGTAAAAATAAAGAGAACCCCTTGAATGAGTAGGTGTGAACTTTTGACTGGTACTGCATGTGTGAGGCAATTAAGGTAATGGTTATGATAAATTAGGCATTGTTCACTGTTTGCGTCTAGTTCATTTATTTTCGTCCTAAAAATAGCTTTTATTTATTGTATATATTTATTTATTTTGGAGTACGCAAATAAAATAATGTGAGTACTTGAACAGTCAAAGGTCAAATGACCATCCCTAATCAATTGCGTCCGGTAATATCAGTCTCTGCAATAGTGTGTGGTTTAATAGCGTAGTGGGCTTAGCCATTCACTGTGGGAATGATTCAAGTGTAGCCTTTTCCCATGATCTAAGCCTACTTTCTGGTTGAATTTTAACTAAGATTTGAATCATTTTAATTGAAGGTTAACCACATTACAATGATTGAGAGACAAAGACTATTATATTTCTGTTTTTAACAGGATTTCGGAAATTCTCCCGTGACCCTATTTTTAAATCAGGTGACCCCACATGGGGTCGCGACCCATAGTTTGGGAACCTCTGGCCTAACCACTATTCTACATCAGTAAGCCTACAGAAGAATGCTCATTGCTAATAGCACATCTGCCTGACAATATTAACCATGTAGGCTATATCCTTTGAAAGAGCCCTTCCTAAAAACACTACTTTTTGCCAACATGGGCTCATTTCTGGAGGGGGATATTAGCAGGTTTGTGGTGCGCGCAGACCTCAAATGGTATTCCATTGCATTCCAATTGGCATTAAAGGCGTGAAGTCTTAAATTCAACTTGATGGAACCTGCAGATACCCTGAATAAGTTAATATTATGACTCCAGATTGTAGATTCAGTAAAGGTTGAGTGGATTTATCCAAACCAAGGGAGCGAATAGGTGTAAGTCAACCATAACCATCCTTTACTCCTGTGTGTTGTAGATCTTCTTGAGGGAGTTGATCTCCAACGCCTCTGATGCTCTGGATAAGATCAGACTGATGTCTCTGACCAACGAGGACGCGCTGGCAGCCAACGAGGAGCTCACCATCAAGATCAAGGTTTGTTTCATGGTCAAGTCCTCACAGGTTCAATCTCAATTCCTCACATCCTTATCAACCGTACAAAGTTCCTCACTTCGGACCTTCTTCTCCAGTGTGTTTTGAGACTGTTAGGCGAGGATGCAAGGAATCAAGTAAAGCTGAATTGAGGAAGAGCCAATCTCTTAACTAAAAAAAATAATAATAATGTATTTGACTGATCCATTCCACTTCATAAGACATGGAAATCATAAGAAAAATACCATTAGGACTTCTGTTCAGCTTGAGCTCAGCTTTCTTCTTAATCTTCTCCTCCCCAGATGGACAAAGAGAAGAACATGCTCCACATCACCGACACGGGCGTCGGCATGACCAAAGAGGACCTGGTCAAGAACCTGGGTGCCATCGCCAAGTCGGGCACCAGCGAGTTCCTCAACAAGATGACCGAGATTGAAACCGAGGGCCAGTCCACCTCTGAGCTTATTGGCCAGTTCGGTGTGGGCTTTTACTCTGCCTTCCTGGTTGCCGACAAGGTGATCGTGTCTTCAAAGCACAACGACGGCACACAGCACATCTGGGAGTCTGACTCCAATGAGTTTTCTGTCATTGAGGACCCCCGCGGGGATACGCTCGGCAGGGGCACCACCATCACGTAAGTGTCTCCAATGGAGTACTCCCAAAAGTGAAAACCCCGCCCATCTGGCAGGGCTCCAAGTATTTTTAAATGTTTTGAATACTAGGTGATGGTATTCATACAGTGGCCATGATTTTAATGAACTTGTTATGTAGCATTGAAAGATAAGATGACACGGGACGAAAGCCCACAATGAAATCCAATGTACAAAGCCTTGCATTTAGTGTTTTTACTCTTCCAGGTTGGTGATGAAGGAGGAGGCTACAGACTACCTGGAGCTGGAAACCATCAAGAACCTGGTCCGGAAATACTCGCAGTTTATCAATTTCCCCATCTACGTCTGGGCCAGCAAGGTATAGGAGTGGAACTATACTGTACTTTATCTCCTGTTCTCTCCATCTGCACTGATTTTGGAAAATCATTGACAAGTGAAAACATTATGGTGGTAATAGCTCATCATTAGACTGGCTTTCATCTGGTCTGTTTTCAGATCAGTGCAGATTAAGTAGAGGACGGATTTGAGACAATTTAGAGGGCGTCATATTTCGTTGTCAATGGAACAACCCATGGTGTTTTTATAGCAGTGAGCTGTAGAAATAACATTTTGCCATGTTCCCTTCTCTCCCTACCCAGACAGAGACTGTTGAGGAGCCCATCGATGAGGACACGGAGGCGGCCAAAGATGCCACTGAGGATGAGGTAGAGGTAGAGGTGGAGGAAGAGGAGGAGGAGGACAAGCCAAAGACCAAGAAGGTAAAAAAAGTTTTTATTTTAGTTCAGTGTTTCCCAAACCTCTCCTTCAGTTCCATTTATTTGATATATTCCAATACTAGCACACCTAATACAACTAAGCCATCGATTTCATTTTGTTAAGTGACTTTTTAAAAACCCAAACAACTTAATTCCTTTGGTCCAGGTTGAGAAGACTGTGTGGGACTGGGAGCTGATGAACGACATCAAGCCTATCTGGACGAGACCAGCCAAAGAAGTAGAGGAGGACGAATACAAGGCCTTCTACAAGACCTTCTCCAAGGTTTGCAGTCTGCACCTCCTCTTGACATTTCTTCCTCCCACTGAGTTTTTCCTAGCTAATGTGCCTCTTTTTTTGGTCTTTGGGGTCTAGGCTGTGTTACTGTAAAACATTGACAACTGCTGATATAAAAAGGGCTTTTATAAATACATTTGATAGAAAAATCTATACAATTAGAACACCGATCTTCCCTCCAGGACACAGACGAGCCCCTCTCCCACATCCACTTCACAGCCGAGGGTGAGGTCACCTTCAAGTCCATCCTGTTTGTCCCCGCTGCCGCCCCCAGGGGCATGTTCGACGAGTACGGAACCAAGAAGAACGACTTCATCAAGCTGTTTGTCCGTAGAGTGTTCATCACTGATGACTTCAATGACATGATGCCCAAATACCTGAACTTCGTCAGGGGAGTGGTGAGTGAGCCTTGTTGCGTACTTTACATGACGGAGCTTCTAGGACTATGGGGGCTTGGATCAATATAGGAAATTGCAAACGTTTGTTTACTTTCTGAATTGACTGAATAGAAATTGATTTTTGACCCCGGACCCTGCTGTACAGTTGCATGATGGTTCATTTAATAATGTAAAAAGTTTCTCTGTGATTTATGATAATGTGATTGTTTTGTTAGGTGGACTCTGATGATCTGCCACTGAACGTGTCCAGAGAAACCCTGCAGCAACACAAGCTGCTCAAGGTGAGCCTCTCCAATCTCAGAATGAACAAGTTCAGACAGTTAACCTATCTATTTCGGTCAGATTTCTTCTCTTTGGTGCCTACTGAAGATGACGATTTGAACATAAAATGACTTATCATTAACCAATGTAGTGAACAAATATGATCTTCATAACTAAAAGTCCCTTCCTCCCTTACCTTTTCCACTCCATCCAGGTCATCCGTAAGAAGCTGGTGCGTAAGACCCTGGACATGATAAAGAAGATTGCAGAGGAGCAGTACAATGAGAAGTTCTGGAAGGAGTTTGGCACCAACATTAAACTGGGTGTGATCGAGGACCACTCCAACCGGACCCGTCTGGCCAAGCTGCTGCGTTTTCAGACCTCCAACAGCGACACAGTGCTGGCCAGCCTGGAGCAGTACGTAGAGCGGATGAAGGACAAGCAGGACAAGATCTACTTCATGGCCGGGACTAGCCGCAGGGAGGTGGGTAGATTTTGACTGTGAACACTCCCCTCCGTATAGTATAGAGCCAAATTAAAGGTTTTAGCTTCACTGTCCAAGTGCATAAGGAGGGGAGTGTACTGTAGGTATAGGTGACTCTGGTGTAATGGGAGGAGGATGTATAGCAGATAAAGGAGAAGCTGTACTTCAGGACCAGCTACATGGTGGACCATAAATTGGATTAATTAAAACGCTATCCTCTTCTCGCTCTTCCCTTGTGACTTTTCCTCCCTTTCTTACCTTGAACTCTGACGTTTTCAACCGAGGTCAAGGTAAGGCAGAAAGTCACATCTCCGAAAGAATCTGAATGCAACCACGGTCTCAGCTGGTCCCAATTCGCTCACTACTCCTTCCCCTTGGCCCTTCGACGTTTGCAGATCTGTAAGGAGTAAGTAATATAGTGAAGGTTAATGTTCCTAACCCTGGTCTTCCCTTGTGCAATGTCCTTTCCCCCAGGCTGAGTCTTCTCCCTTCGTAGAGAGTCTGTTGAAGAAGGGTTATGAGGTGATCTACCTGACAGAGCCAGTGGATGAGTACTGTGTACAGGCTTTGCCAGAGTTCGACGGTAAGCGCTTCCAGAACGTGGCCAAGGAGGGCATTAAGTTTGACGAGAGCGACAAGGCCAAGGAGACCAGGGAGGTCCTGGAGAAGGAGTACGAACCCCTCACCACCTGGATGAAGGACAGCGCCCTCAAGGACAAGGTAACATGCAGAACATGAATGTGAAAGACCAGACTTCAGACCACTTTTAAAAAAACAATGTTCATTTATCCAGACTAGGTTTAGTCATAATTAGGGCTGTGGCAATCATGACATTTTGTCAGCCCGTTATTGTCACGCAAAAGACTGCCGTGCTCACGGTAATTTACCCTTAATTAACAAACACGTTTAGCATCTCCACATATAGTTAAACCTAGCCTAATAAAATACATTTACGTCATTTAGCAGACGCTCTTATCCAGAGCGACTTACAAATTGGTGCATTCACCTTACAGCCAGTGGGATAACCACTTTACAATATGTTTTTTATTTTTTTGGGGTGGGGTAAGGGGGGGGTAGAAGGATTACTTTATCCTATTCCATGTATTCCTTAAAGAGGTAGGGTTTCAAGTGTCTCCGGAAGGTGGTGAGTGACTCCGCCGCCTTAGCGTCGTGGGGGAGCTTGTTCCACCATTGGGGTGCCAGAGCAGCGAACAGTTTTGACTGGGCTGAGCGGGAACTGTGCTTCCGCAGAGGTAGGGGGGCCAGCAGGCCAGAGGTGGATGAACGCAATGCCCTCGTTTGGGTGTAGGGACTGATCAGAGCCTGAAGGTACAGAGGTGCCGTTCCCCTCACAGCTCCGTAGGCAAGCACCATGGTCTTGTAGCAGATGCGAGCTTCAACTGGAAGCCAGTGGAGTGTGCGGAGGAGTGGGGTGACGTGAGAGAACTTGGGAAGGTTGAACACCAGACGGGCTGCGGCATTCTGGATGAGTTGTTGGGGTTTAATGGCACAGGCAGGGAGCCCAGCCAACAGCGAGTTGCAGTAATCCAGACGGGAGATGACAAGTGCCTGGATTAGGACCTGTGCCGCTTCCTGTGTAAGGCAGGGTCGTACACTCCAAATGTTGTAGAGCATGAACCTACAGGATCGGGTCACCGCCTTGATGTTAGCGGAGAACGACAGGGTGTTGTCCAGGGTCACGCCAAGGCTTTTTGCACTCTGGGAGGAGGACACAACGGAGTTGTCAACCGTGATGGCGAGATCATGGAACGGGCAGTCCTTTCCCCGGGGGGAAGAGCAGCTCCGTCTTGCGGGATATGTTTCCCATTCCAGAGCGAGTGTGCCACAGGTGGCCAGTGGCATCCTAATTGGGGAGGACGGGCTCATAGGAATGGCTGGAATGCAATAAATAGAATGGTGTCAAACACATGCATGTTTTATACCATTCCATTCACTCATTCCAGCAATTGTTATGAACCGTTCTTCCCCCCTCAACCTCCTGTGGAGTGCACATATGAAGTGGCTATGTTGAGCGTGAAAGTGATAATTTGAAACGGGTCCTATATGCTAGATTTAGAGTTATTTGGCAACATTAGTTGTGAATGATACAGACCTTAGAATGTCTTACAAATCTAAACATATATGGGCTGCATGATGCGACTATTGGCTATTGATGATTAGAGAAAGTCGCAAATAAAGCTTGCGCTCTGTTCCTTGCCTCGGGCTGCACAGCTGTTCTCTTATCAAGTGATCATATTTTCACCCATCAGACTAGTCTCAATTTAATCTTGTCTGTACTATTATATAAAATGAGTTTTGATTTAGAATGGCCCATTATCAAATGGGCAGGGGAAAAAGACATGTCATCTGTATGCACTCGAATAGCGAATGGAGGCCGCACGCTGTCCCGCCGGTCCATTTTTCAATGATGCCTGTTAGGTTACTTCGGTTTTATAGCAGAGCTTTGCTTAATATCAGCAGCTGAGAAATAAAATAACACTTTCACTCTGTGCACTGTTTGTGGAGCATGTTCTCCCTGCGCGACAGGTGATATTCTGCCCAAACTGTATGCCGTGGGCTCTCAACCCTGTTCCTGCATCTACCCAGTGCTTAATTTGGGAAACCAAATGATCTTTTGAACATCAACAGTAACATGTTTTCGCAACAAAACATTTCACTAAACTGAAACTGCGCTCTGTATAAAGGAGAGCGAGGAGGAGATGGAAACGCACAGTAGTGAGATTCTGTATAGGTAAAGGTAATGTCACCTAATTAATTATGAAAAATAAAAATAATGCCCTATTGCTAGATTATTCAAAATCAAATACAAATTCACTATAATTGTTGGCTGACTCTGCACAATGAACCAACAGCAGTCCCTAGGGCTATACGTTCTGACTCGTGGATAGACATTTTGGAGCGTAGCATAAGGTAACCAGTCCATCCAGTATGAATAATAATAGTAGTCCACACTCAAAGGCGACTACTCAAATTAGTATAGGCTAGACCAATTATGTACCAAAGACAGTTTTTCTGCCATCATCAAAATCATTTTTTTTTTTTTCATAAGCCTATGCATAAGCTCTAATATGCATATGGTTGGTTTGAATTAATCGTCACCTTAGAAAGCGCTGTCCATTTCGTTAGTCTCCCGAGTGGCGCAGTGGTCTAAGGCACTGCATCGCAGTGCTAGCTGTGCCACTAGAGATCCTGGTTCGAATCCAGGCTCTGCTGTAGCCGGCCGCAACCGGGAGACCAATGGGGCGGCGCACAATTGGCCCAGGGTAGGGGAGGGAATGGCCGGCAGGGAGGTAGCTCAGTTGGTAGAGCATGGCGTTTGCAACGCCAGGGTTGTGGGTTCGATTCCCATGGGGTATGAAAATTAAAAAGAATGTATGCACTAACTGTAAGTCGCTCTGGATAAGAGCGTCTGCTAAATGACAAATGTAAATGAAAATGATTTCAAAGCCTGTTTTTACACTGTTTCAACATGCTGTTGAACTTTTTTCTTCAAATTGATCATCACAGTGAGGTGAGTTTTAAAAGCACGATACTGTGATTTTTCGTTTGCATTGACGTCAGTGGTTAGAGGGACAATAGAGCCCTGAGTACCAGGCCATTAGGACCTGATGGTCGTTAGCAAGTTGGGTACTACCAAATCATGTCCAGAGTGCATAAAAGGAGATTACTGTGACTCAACGGTCACGTGGAATTTTACTGCAGTTATGACGGTAATAAGGTCACCGCAACAGCCCTAGTCATGATTAAAAACCATTCTCAACGGCAAATCCGGCCCTAAATGTTTTGGGATTAAATGATTTTAAAAAAAAGGTTTTATTATTTGTGTGTAGATTGAGAAGGCTATCCTGTCCCAGAGGCTGACCAAGTCTCCCTGTGCCCTGGTAGCCAGCCAGTATGGCTGGTCCGGTAACATGGAGAGGATCATGAAGGCACAGGCATACCAGACAGGAAAAGACATCTCCACAAAGTGAGTGATCTCTGTATGCACTTCAGGTGGTATTCTGAAGTTTTGAGCTTTTGTGTAACATCATTAATCTATGTCAATGGGAGACTTGCATGAATATTTGCGCTAAACCGGGATCTCATTTCAGAATACCACCCTTCTATTTTTTTTCTGTTACCCTTCTTGATCTCTTCCTTATATAATATTGTGTTCTGCTTTGTATTTCCAGTTATTATGCAAGCCAGAAGAAAACATTAGAAATCAACCCAAAGCACCCTCTCATCAAGGAAATGCTGAAACGCGTTTCTGTAAGTATTTATCACATACATAACCTTGTGAAGCTGTGTTCATAATACTCCATCAACTTGATTCTTGAGTGGTGCCAATGAGATCCAAGCCAGAGAATGTTCCTCATCCTTCATCAGTTGAGTGATGTCTGTGATACAATACATCTATTGATCCATTATACAGACCTCCAATGGTATTGGGACAGTGACCATTTCTTTTGTTTTGGCTCTGTACTCCAGCACTTTGGAGTTGAAATGATGTAATGACTGAGGTTAAAGTGCAGACTGTCAGCTTTAATTTGAGGGTATTTTCATCCATATCAGGTGAACCGTTTAGAAATTACAGCACTTTTTGTACATAGTCCCCCCCCCCCCCCCCCAAAGTATTGAGACAAATTCACTTGTGTGGATTAAAGTAGTAAAAAGTTTAGCATTTGGTCCCATATTCATAGCATGCAATGACTACATTAAGCTTGTGACTCTACAAATGTGCTGTTTTTTGTTTTGGTTGTTTCAGATTTATTTTGTGCCCAATAGAAATAAATTGTAAATAATGTAATCATTCTGGAGTCACTTTTATTGTAAATAAGAATAGAATGTTTCTAAACACTTCTACATTAATGTGGATGCTGCCATGATTACGGATAATCCTGACTGAATCGTGAATAATGAGTGTGAACGTTAAACACACATCATACCCACAAGAAATGCTAACTTCTCACCATTACAACAACAGTGGAGGTTAGAATTTCTTGTTATTGTAATGGGGAGTGGTTCGCATGTCTTGGGGTATGATATTTCTGCGTCTAACTTTCTCACTCATCATTATTCACGATTCATTCAGCATTATCTGTAATCATAGTAGCATCAACATTAATGTAGAAGTGTTTAGAAACATATTATATTCTTATTTACAATAAAAGTGATTCCAAAATGACACAATACATTATTTACCATTAATTTCTATTGGCCACAAAATAATCTATGTACAGAAAGTGCTGTAATTTCTAAATGGTTCAACTGATATGGATGAAAATGGCCTCCGATTAATGCTGATAGTCTGCACTTTAACCTCATTGTATCATTCCAAAACAATGTGTCACTGTCCCAATACTTTTGGAGCTCACTGAACAGACACCGACAACTGAAATGGTAAATGTTTCTGTCAGTCTGGTGCTCTGTGGGCAGGTATTAATGTTTTAGTTTAATACTCTAACTGGATGTCACCGTCGACGAGTGTCTGCTAAATAGTGTTGAGTAGTGCACTACATTCTTCAGTAGCTTGGTGGTAGTTGAACAGAATTCAAATCTAGGTAGTGTTTTCAGTAGTTAATTACGTTCCGTGTAGCAAACTACACGACTTTTTTAGCAAAAAGAAACATATGGGTGAAGTAGGCAATTTCCATTTTCGGCATTAGAACTGGGCACGGTTTCCCAAAAGCATATTAAGGCTAGGTTCATCATTAGAACCATCGTAGGAGCATTGTTAAATCTCAGAGCTGTGTCTCAAAACCATCGTTATTAACGTTGCGCTTGAAAACGCTCGTAATCGAACATAGTCACATGGTTTATCTGTCTCTGTGACCTATAACTTCAGAACAAAATTGACTAGAAATACAAAGTTGCCAATGTCTTAATACAAACAAACGACCTATTAAAAAGATGCTTCAAATTAACTGAGATGACTGAATTAAAATATAAATGGTAGTATATAGGCTTATTTCAGTCATATTGAAATGCATTTCATGTTCAATCAGTTCTATTTTGCTACTTGTAGACTACTCTCTGTGTAATGTCTCCAATATATTTCATGTGTAGCCTAATGTGCGCAATGAAATGCCAAATCAGTGATTTTAGTGCATTTTTATTGGGTAAGTATTATAATAAGCCACCAACATTATTTGCAGCTGTAGGTGGTAATCTCTCTAGGAGCTGATCCGTCATCAGTATTGTGAAATAATGTTAAGCTAAGATTTGAATGGAGAAAGCTGATCCGAGAGCAGCACTCACTTTCTTTCGATCCTATCAGTAGAGACACATACTCCAACGACGCTCTTAGTGACCTTTCTATCTGCGTGGTGTTTTGGGAAACGCATGTTACATCTTGGGCCGTTGTTGGATTCATCGTTAAAACACTCGTAACCTTAAGTTCCATCACTAGGAAAACCGGGCCCTGCCTAATTCTCACTTAGAACATCATTTTGGTGTTTTAATAGGTTTTTACCCATTCTGTTAAAATATGACCCCAAAGTGATTTGTTTTTGCAATTTGTAGTCTGACATTTCAGATATACCTATGATAATTGTTCACCAAGTAGTTTGGATGTATTGAACTGCTTTTTCAAATTAAATTTCAGTTAAATAGTTTACTTTTCTTAAGGTTTGCTTTAACTTAGTTTACCAAGCTACCAATTACATCACACTATCTTTTCAGAATAGCTTCCCCAACACTGCTGCTAAATGACAAGGAACTGTAAATAAAACTAATTTTGTATTCCTCTCCCCATAGACGGATGCCGAGGACCAGACGGCCTCAGACCTGGCCATGGTGTTGTTTGAGACGGCCACACTGCGTTCAGGCTACCAGCTCCAAGACACCAAGGCCTATGGAGACAGGATAGAACGCATGCTGCGGCTCAGTATGAACATAGACCTCAATGAACAGGTTGAGGAGCCGGAGGAGGAGCCTGAAGAGGCAGCAGAGGCTGAGGAAGAAGAGGAAATTCAAGATGAGGATGATGAAATGGTATGTTTCTACTAAGTCCAACAACTATGTTTAGGCCAGTATCTACACATTAAGTCATTCTTATGTCCTGTTACTAACCTTTCTTCCTCTTTTCCATATAGGTAACTGATAAAGATGAATTATAAAGCACAATGAGTGGGGGTGTGATGTACCTATCCTGGAGCTGAGCCACAACCAAGACCACCCATGGCCAACCAAGTCCTAGCCTTGAAATCCAGACAGAATTTAGTGTCATTCTGTATGTTTCACTCATTATCTATGAATTAGTCATTACTATAGTGAAACATTGAATCACACTGTCTGGATTTCCAGGCTAGCCAAGACCACCAACGGTCAGTGAAGACTAGCCTGGTCCCAGATCTGTTTGTGCGGTCTTAGCCTGGTCCCAGATCTGTTGGGTAAGACCGCACAAACAGATCTGGGACCAGGCTAAGTCGAGACAACCATGGCCACCTTTCACTCACTCGGGACGATCCTGATTAGTTTTCTTTTTTAAGGCTTGGGTTTGTTTTTTGTTTTTTTACATTCCTCATGATTGTAAATTTGTTAATATTTAACTGAGCTGTCTTTGGAAAAGATGAAATATGTGATCGATACTGTCACTTGATCCCATTAAATAAATATTTCCTGGGAAAAAAGGTTACTGTGTCTTTTTATATGGTGTGATGAATATAGTTGGTTAATGTATCTGCAACACTACTTTGTACAGGTGAAGTTCCTACTTTGGTCACTAGATGTAAAAATGAACTAAATACTCTATTGAATAAAGCAATACATTAACACATTTGACAGAATACTTTCCAAAATGTCTAAAGAATGTCATACTGTTGCAAGGTAGTCTCATTTCAATATTACAGAAGACCTGAAATGATAGATTACTGAAGTGATTTGTGGATAAACTATTGGCCATTGTGACAATGGACTGTTACACACTGGACCCTAGTGATTGTGTGAAAAGGAGCCATGTGTGTTTCTCTTTGTAGAAATGTATTTTTCTTTGCTCATGGCCTGACTATTTCTACCTTTCTCACAATGATGAAATGGGTTAAATGGATGGCTTTATTGTAAATCGGAAATCTCTGACAAAGTTATTTTGTTTAAATGGTTGGAAACAGGGTAGTCTATTTGGGCATATTGCAACAAACATTGTCCAGCGTACTAACACAAGGTAATCAATCTCTCATTAAACCATCAATATGCGCTATAATCATCCACAGAGCTGATCTCGATTGCAACCATCATTGGCCACCAATTTACCTTCCCAAAGTGGATGTTGAGGTTCTTTTAGTCCTGATTGCCAAGACTTTTTTCAACATAATTTCACCCTCAGTGTTATCATTGGAACAAATGAATCCTACTTTTTTTTAACAGACCAGGGCCTGGTTTCCCGATAGTGATTGAATTTAGGCTTACAAGTGTTTTAATGATTCATCGTAAAAAAATAACGGCTGAAGACGTCACACCCGTTTCCCAAAACACCATACAGTGAACTCGTTACAAAAAGTGAAACTTAATTGTGTTACAGTAGCTGTCCCGTGCTGAAAATGATTCCAGAATATAGGTTTAAGAGCTCGCTGTAGCTCTTAAATGATTTATGGCTATTTATACAACGGGTGGGTCTAATCCTGAATGCTGATTGGTTAAAACCGCATTCCAGCCGGTGTCTATGATGTTAAAATGCCTGTTTACTCTGTTCCATCTGCCTGTGCAATCCACTGTGTCATCAGCCCAGCCAGGCAATTTATATACACTGTAAAAAGCATCTAGACATTATCTCTCATTTCGTTTAGTCTAGCATTTGGTTTTCAACAGCGGAGATTTATAATAACCTTGTCTGTCCGACATTTGCAACATTGTTTCAATATTGAAATTCGATCTCCAGCTGTCGTATGGTAATGAATGTGTCGGGACGAGACAGATAGGTTGGCAGCTTTTCTCAGCCAGTCGAAATCATGAATTAGCATCATTTTTATGGATATAATTTGAAGAAATGTCAATAGAAAAACACGAAATACAGCTGGTTAGCTGTCATTTCCGCTTCAGTTTGAAGTGATTGTGTTAGCTGTGTAGTTTGCTATCTCTGAACAGTGGCCTGGCGAGAGAGCAAATGTTATATGCCAGGAAAAATCGCACATCATTAGCTCATTGTTATAAATGTATTCCCCCCCCAAATAAATCACTGCAAAACAGCTTATGTAAATGCTGATACTTTGCTGTGATTCTGGCTACATTGTTTGACGTTACTGTGTTAGCCAAAGTTGACTAGCGAGCAAGCAAGGGATAAGAACGTTGCCAGCCATCATGGCAACAGAACATTTAGAACAAAATAATGGGTCACGTTCAAATCAAATCAAATGTCACATACACGTGTTTAGCAGATGTTATTGCGGGTGTAGCGAAATGCTTGTGCTTCTAGCTCCGACAGTGCAGTAATATCTAACAAGTAATATCTAACAATTTCACAACATATACCTAATACACACATAGATTTAGAACAAAAACACTTAATGACTGGATTGCGTCTCTGGCAACCGAACCGATAGAATGAACGACCAGCCGGCTTAGGTAGCAACCCTAGATTTGTGTCGGGACTATATCTTGTGGAAGGATGAAATAGTATGAATAAATAAATTAAAATAACATTTTTCATGAAAATATATCAATCATTATTAGAATGTGTTGGTAACCCGTTGTATAAAATTGATAATGCCCTCGAAGCCGGTGTTCGTTGGATATATTGGCACAGTTTGCCGGCCCTCGACTTCATCTCGGGCCTATCAACACCTGTGCCAATATATCCTCCAAACACTGGCTTCTCGGGCATTATCACTTAACCAAAGTCATCTTTTTTAAAATTATTTATTTTACACAATACAGTTTTCCCATCAAGAGAGGAAATGTTCTGTAGCCTATGATGTATTAGTTTGTATTATGTTTGCCATGTGTTATGTATTCTAAGTGTTTTCTCGTGCTATTTTGTATGCAATGTTTGATTATGTAAATTCAGTATTTCTTTGTGAAAACTGTGAGCAAGAATTAATAGTCAAAATCACTTGTTCGCTATAGAAAATATCAACGTGACCTAAAAATAGGATATGATGACTATGGTTTTCGTAATTGCTCAACAAATCATTGTAACCTAATGGCAGGCAGGAATTGAGCTTCAAGTAAGCCTACAGATATGCTATAATTAAACAATTAAAATAATTAATACTTTCTGAAGGCACTGTAGGTCATTGCTTCACTTGTTTATAACATTGTTTAGGATATTTACAGTGCATTCAGAAAGTACTCAGACCCCTTGACCTTTTCCACATTTTGTTACATTACAGCCTTATTATAAAATTGATTAAATTGGTTTTTTCCCTCATCAATCCACACACAATACCCCATAATGACAAAGCAAAAACAGGTTTTTAGAAATTTCTACTAATTTATGAAAAATGTAAAACGGAAATATTACATTTTCATAAGTATTCAGACCCTTTACTCAGTACTTTGTTGACACAACTTTGGCAGTGATTACAGCCTCCAGTCTTCTTGGGTATGACGCTACAAGCTTGGCACACCTGTATTTGGGGACTTTCTCCCATTCTTCTCTGCAGATCCTTTCAAGCTCTGTCAGGTTGGATCGGGAGCGTCGCTGCACAGCTATTTTCAGGTCTCTCCAAAGATGTTTCATTTGGTTCAAGTCCGGGCTCTGCCTGGGCCACTCAAGGACCTTCAGAGACTTGTCCCGAAGCCACTCCTGTGCTGTCTTGGCTGTGTGCTTAGGGTCATTGTCCTGTTGGAAGGTGAACCTTTGCCCCAGTCTGAGGTCCTGAGAGCTCTGGAGCAGGTTTTCATCAAGGATCTCTCTGTACTTTGCTCCATTAATCTTTCCCTTGATCCTGACTAGTCTCCCATTCCCTGCCGCTGAAAAACATCCCCACAGCATGATGCTGCCACCACCATGCTTCACCGTAGGGATGGTGCCAGGTTTACTCCAGACTTGACCCTTGACATTCAGGCCAAAGAGTTCAATCTTTGTTTCATCAGACCAGAGAATCTTGTTTCTCATGGTCTGAGAGTCCTTTAGGTGCCTTTTGGCAAACTCCAAGCGGGCTGTCATGTGCATTTTACTGGAGAGTGGCTTCCGTCTGACCAGTCTAGCATAAAGGCCTGATTGGTGGAGTGCTGCAGAGATGGTTGTCCTTCTGGAAGGTTCTCCCATCTCCACAGAGGAACTCTGGAGCTCTGTCGGAGTGGCCATTGGGTTGTTGGTCACCTCCCTGACCAAGGCCCTTCTCCCCCGATGGCTCAGTTTGGCCAGGCGGCCAGCTCTAGTAAGTCTTGGTGGTTCCAAACTTCTTCCATTTAAGAATGATGGAGGCCACTGTGCTCTTGAGGACCTTCAATGCTGCGTAAATATTTTGGTACCCTTCCCCAGATCTGTGCCTCGACACAATCCTGTCTCGGAGGTCTACGGACAATTCCTTCGACCTCATGGCTTGGTTTTTGCTCTGACATGCACTGTCAACTGTGGAACCTTATATAGACCGGTGTGTGCCTTTCCAAATCATGTCCAATCAATTTAATTTACCACAGATGGACTCCAATCAAGTTGTAGAAACATGTCAAGGATGATCAATGGAAACAGGATGCAACTGAGCTCAATTTCGAGTCACAGAGCAAAGGGTCTGTATACTTATGTACTTATGTAAATAAGGTATTTCTGCTTTTTATTTTTAATACATTTGGAAAAATTTCTAACAACCTGTTTTCTCTTTGTCATTATGGGGTAATGTTTGTAGATTGCTGAGGGAAAAAAATAATTTAATCTATTTTAGAGGCTGTCAAGGCTGTAATGTAACAAAATGTGGAAAAAGTCAAAGGGTCTGAATACTTTCCGAATGCACTGTGTATTCAACTATTAAGTTTTCTGTGGTCACAGAGACACAGATAAACATCCTAATTCTATGTTTAGCGAACATTTTCTTTGTGTAAAGTGACGCGGGAGTACAAACGGGATTCTATCTACGCATTTAGCTGTTTTACGAGTGGTCTGAGGCAGGCGTTAGATTACAAGTAATTTCAAGTGCAATGTTAATAAAGACAGTTTTGGGAAACGGCTCAGGTAAATGTAAAGATGCTCTTACGAAGGTTCTAACAATGAACTTAGCCTTAATATGCTTTTGGGAAACTGGGTAGCGATGGAACTTAGGCTTATGAGTGTTTTAACGATGCATCTTTCCTACAACCGCGGAAGATGTAACATGCGTTTCCCAAAACACCACGCAGAGAGAACTGTCGCTAAGTGCGTCGCTGCAAA